AGATAAGAAATAGGAGAAAAGAGTCAGTTATAATATATGTAAGGGGCATATGGAAACCCTAAGCTTGGTTCACATATTAAGAGGTCAGAACCATAACAAAGCTTTGGTGCTACACCCCTCGAGTAAAATTTCCCTATCCCCCAAATGATACACTTTCCAAATTGCTGAATCAATCAATTCATAACTTACCGTCAAAGAGACATGAAAGTTAGGCCTACTGTAGAGATTATTTATACTATTTTATTGTACAAGATAACTTTAACCTACAACTTTTTGTAATGGTAAAAAATGACAATGCAATCAGATTTTAAGTTATCACATAAGTATGTTTGCAGTTTATTTTTACGAGTATATTTCAAAATATTTCCCAAAATCCCAGAAAAATTACAATAAATGGATGCGACCTTGGACTGGTTTTAGATTGTGTGCGCTATACACTTTAACGAATCTATAGAGACATGAACAGTCCATAATAAGACATAAGCAGAGTACTGATGTTTCCTTCAAAAGCTATACATGAACAAGTTCTACAGCATACACTAATGCTGCCATTGTTCCAATTTTCTCCTATAGCTACCTAGCCAAATTCTACACGGCCACCCAGTACATAGAGATGGTGTTCAAGGACATTGTGGCATCTTGGTGGCTACTCCTGGTGTTCATGGGCATTGCTATGGTAACTTGCTTCATCTGGATTGTTCTTCTTCGTTGGATCGCTGGCATCATGGTTTGGATCAGTGTCATCCTAGTGTTTGGTCTTCTTGGATTTGGTAAGTCTATAAATAAAGTTTTAAAATCACGTTATGATATTGGTTCCCAAACAAGTGATGGTTATCATGGTTATCATGTTTATCTAACTCGAGTTAGTTCATTTTCCTTCAAATTGTATAAAGACACAAGCTTTACTAAGTGTATTTTACAATTTGAAAATTAACTAACGAGAGTTAGCTAGATAAGCAGGATAATGTACCACGAGTTTGGGAACATTTTCCCCCCACAACATCATATGTTTCTCTTGGGAATACATTGTTGATGTTTCTGATCTGGGAAACATTTGCCATGAAGTAATTGATGTCATAATGGTTGACGACGTTGCAAGTCATTGTTACTTGATGTCATTATTAGAAGATTGACCAATGAAGTCATGTCCAGGGTGTTATCCCCCAATGAGTTCCTGAGACTAACCAAATATTTTACCAACTCCTAACAGGTTCAACCATGAGTTTGGAATGAGTAAATCTATAGTGGTAACATGGGAGAAAATGTATGATCACTGTTTCTGTGAATATGTTATTACTTATACAAGTGTATAGTATTGTAGAAACTTCAATCTCCGGTAATCCATGATGATGTACTAGAATAATAGCCAAATCTTATAAAAATACATATATATATATACAAAAATGTATATGCATATTTGGAAATATCTTGTACTTTTTTCAGAACATTTTCTATTCTGATACTTATATCCGGTAATGAGTTATTTTCTACTATTCATGGCTGATAATAATTTTCATTGTGTTCACATTTCAGCGTGTTACTACAGCTATTCACAGTACTATGAAATGAAGAACCAGAATTCAACAGCTACCTATGGAGTGTCTGAAGCTTTCGCCCTTAACTTCGGTTACTACCTCCAGCTTAAGGAGACTTGGCTAGCCTTTGGTATGATCAGTTTTAGACAGCTTTGACAATGTTGTTCATATTGAATGTTACATTATGTTTTAATTTTCCCATTTTTT